TTAATGCAATTATTGATATGAAATATTAATTTATCTGTCGTTAGTATATTAATGTAGTGGCCCAAGCATTCGCTGCCAAGCGCTCATTGTAGCAAGCATACTTTTAACGTGCGTTCTGTCAAACCAACGCCAACGCCAAAGCTAACACGAAAGTTCTATGTGGACCGGCCTTTATACTTAGTGTATGTGCTAAAAATGCAACACCTGATGCGCTGTTTTTTATGTGGTGTTAAATATAATTCAGACACCACTCATTTTTTAACGTGCCTCAATGTCTTTGGCGTAAGGAGCGTTGGGAAAGCAGCTGTGGGGTAGAGCTGCAGCGAAATGCCTTGCTGTGCGTTAAACATTTCAAAGCAGCAGATTTCATAAATGTACCGGAAGGTTCAGGAAAGGCGCGTTTGATGCCAAGTGCTGTTCCTATGACCCTTATGCCGGAAAGTCCCTTCAACAACACTGCAACTCATAAATCAAAAACAGAAAACAACATACAAATTAAAAAATTTTAACTAAAGAAAATAAATAAATAAAAAGAAAACATCAAATTTACTTAAAAACGTCAACCAGCGAAATGTAATTTTTTATTTTTCCTTACACACGCTCACTTTTATTTTTACTCTCCCGAAAACTTTGACTTTTGTAGGTTTGATGTCAATTTGGCTTCTACCTGTTTTTATTGTACCATGATGTTAGCAAACTTCAAAAATGTTCAGGCTGCCTCTCAGCGGTTTTACCTACAAATTTTTGTACCATGGTTAAAATTTGTTAACTTGTATGTTGTTTTCGGTTTTTGATTTGTGAGTTGTACTGTTGTTGGAGGGACTTTTCGGCATAAGGGTCATAGGAACAGCACTTGGCATCAAACGTGCCTTTCCTGTACCTCCCGGTGTAGCGGTATCTGCTTTATATTTAACAGCACATAAAAAACAACGCTTCAGATGTTGCAGTTTTAATACGTACACTAAGTATAAACCGCACAACACTACAAAAATTCAAATGTTAATTAAAATTTGTTATTAACGAACATTCAAAAAAAAAAAAAAAACAACGATAAGACATTCAAAGCGTAACGAAATATAGGAAATAAAAGAAAAACAAGTTGAAGTTTAAAGCTGATGCCACATAAAACTTTTGCTTTGATAAGATGAATTGTATGAAAATGCACAAAGCACGCTACATAGATCGTTGAAGCTGCAGCGCGAAGCGAAAAGATGGCCAACTCCCATCTTTTTGCGCTCTTTGACAATCATTTTATTTATTTTGTTTCGTCCAAATTCGAGTTTTCATGTAGAAACATAAAATTTATTTACATTGCTGATATTTTTAAAGCAAAATATATAAAATCCACAGCAATTTTCCCGAGTAAAAAAGCAGTACAAAATCGTTTTTTTTGCGTTCATTGTGGCATATTTTTGTGTCTGGCGCTTCGCTGGCAAAGTTATAAATGTCACGCAAAGCTACAAAGTTTTATCTGGCATCAGCTTAAAGGTTTGGTTGGAGAGCAACGTCATTTTGGCTTCTACCTGTATTTATGTGCCTTGGGTTTAAAGAGCTTTGTAAAATGACGTGTTCAAACATTTTTCAGTTCAAAAATTTTTTTAAAGCTACTTTATTTCTTATGAACAAAATGTATTCAACAAAGTGTGATTGAATTTGACATTGCTCTTAGAAGAACCATCCTATAAAATCAAATTGAAAAAATTTTGTATACATTTTGAATCGATGGTTTATATTTTTGGCATAATAGTAGGTTCATTCCTTATCTTTTTGGACTAAAATCTGAAAAGTGTCAAAATGCCAGAGCGTAAGCAAAATGCGCTCACTAAAAGAGAATAACAGGAAAAGTAAAGGAACGCAAAAAACCAAATTTTTAGTCCAAAGAATGGCAACAACAAAACTAACGTCAAATAAGAACAGAAATGTATGTACAAAACACATTCACACAAGCACAAGCACAATAAACACTTTCTTTATCAATTATTTTTTGCCTCCTTCCAATTTCAATTCATTTCTTTTACTTTTTAGATTATTCTCACTTTTAGTATTCTTTAATTTCCGTTAATTTAAATTCAGTTCAGTTTGACACTTTTCAGGATTTTGCCAGAAAAAATTCTTCTGACTAAATCTGACTACTTCGGACTGATGCGAGTCACTCTCACTGACTGTTGCTGTCTCATTTTTGCTGTCATTTCCAAGTTAAGGAACGCTTTTTGGACTAAATCTGACTACTTCGGACTTTTTCTGACTATTTCTGGGAGATAAGGAACGCTCCTAGTACCTTAAAAGATAGCATAACTGAGTTGTCAATCACACCTTGTTTAACGCACCTTGCTTATGAATAAGGCCATACATTTATAATTGTTTGCGATTTGACGTTTAGTTTCGGGCACGAAAATGGTTTTTTTGTGTTCTTGTGCTTTTGTGCAGTTTATGCACTTTTGTGGGAGCATTCCGTACTTAGCTCATTTGCCCGAAACTAGCCCGAAATTGTTAAAAAACTATCCTAGTATGTACCACAAATTTCAAACAAAGAAGTCAACGGTAAACGGAAACACAATAGTTGAGTTTAATGACGCCGAAAAAAGTGCAGATCAGCTCAAGTTAGAGCAGAATAGAGAAGCTCTCAGAAAAACAGTCGAGCAAGTAAGAGCAACTCAGATCAAGAATCTCATGTAACACTTTTCGGGCTGTAGTTCTCAAAACGGTTGATTGCTCGACACAAGGTGTATTAAACAAGGTGGTGTTGGGGCGACAGCTGAGTTTT